TCACAAAAAGCTCTTATTTATTGCTGCATTTTGCCAAGCAAAGACAAAAGGGGGGGAAAAAACAAGCAGACTTGATACTGTATACGATGGTGAATGTCATAATAACACTTTACCTATAATATAGTATAATTTTACCTATAATAACAGCCTTACCTATGATTAAAAGTCTCTTTGTGCCAAATTCACTGTACTTCAACAAATCAATCTGTGTCTGCACACTGAAGGTGAAAATGTCTCACACGACACAATAACAGCCAATCAGAACATCCAACCTGTCACTAAATGGTGTAAATACAGGTGTCAACCTCATTATCTACTAACAAAACACATTTACTGTAACACACCCACAAAAACAACACTAACCACATCACAAACACTGAGAAAAGAGTCGACCTGGAGCCAAACGTGTCCACCTCAGCTGTGTGGGTGTGCAGTGAGTTGATATGAACACACACACACACACACACACACACACACACACACACACACACACACACACACACACACACACACACACACACACACACACAGCCTCCAGGAGTGTAAGAGGAGATGAGATTAGCTGCTACTCATCTCAAGACAAAAAGAGAGTGACGTTTTGACCGAATTTCCTCCCACACATTCCAGAAGTTTCCTTGAATTCAAGCATGTTCCTGGTGAACCAGAACCCCTCAGATACACACCCATGCCGCAAACAGCATGGCTTTCAGCTTTGATGCTGGAACAGTAACAATGAGACATATTCCACACACACACACACACAGATACAAACCGAAACATGTAGAAACAGGAGAAATGAAGCCGTGAAACCAAACAACTGACATGACGTGATGTCATTCACATTTACACAGGTGCTGTAGGATCTGTGTTTCTGTGTGTGTGTGTGTGTGTGTGTGTTGTAATTGCATAAGAGGTTGTTAATAAGAGGTTGTTTCTTAATCCAAACAGGCTGACGTCAAAAGATTTACGTTAAAAAATGATCACATTCTGTCTTGTAAAATGATAAAACATCTTGCAAAATTATCATCTTCAGCTTTAAAAAAAAAAAAAGAAGATATATAGATATATAGATAGATATTTACAGTTGAAGTCAAACTTTCACATACACCTTGCGGAATCTGCAAAATGTTAATTATTTGACCAAAATAAGAGGGATCATACAAAATGCATGTTAATGTTTATTTAGTACTGACCTGAATAAGATATTTCACTTAAAAGATGTTTACATATAGTCCACAAGAGAAAATAATAGTTGAATTTATAAAAATGACCCCGTTAAAAAGTTTACATCCCCTTGATTCTTAATACTGTGTTGTTACCTGAATGATCCACAGCTGGGTTTTTTTGTTTAGTGATAGTTGTTTATGAGTCCCTTGTTTGTCCTGAACAGTTAAACTGTCTGCTGTTCTTCAGAAAAATCCTTCAGGTCCCACTAATTCTTTGGTTTTCCAACATTTTGTGCATTTGAACCATTTCCAACAATGACTATGCTTTTGAGACCCATCTTTTCACACTGAGGATGACTGAGGGACACATATGCAACTATTACAGAAGGTTCAAACACTCTCTGATGCTCCAGAAGGAAAAACCATGCATTAAGAGCCATTAAGGGGGTGTGTACATTTTTCTTATTTTGCCTAAATATCATATTTTTTCATTTGGTACTGCCAGAAGCTGAAGAAGATGTTTCCCAGAAGACAAAATAAGATACAGTTACTCTGATCTTCAAATTCAAAAAGTTTTCACACCCAGGCTTAATGCATCGTTTTTCATTTTGGAGCATCAGTGAACGTTTGAACCTTTTGTAATTTAAATACATATGAATTTTAATACATAATACTATTTATATTAATGTCTTTAATAATTAATTTATATTATATTACTTATATATAACTGCTTGGTATGTTAGATTTACCAATTCTGAAAGGTAAATAATATAATACAAATAAATAAATATAAATAAGTACATACATGCATTTATTTTTATTACATGTTCAAATTTCTGACTCTTGAAAACAGCACAAAATCCAGTCAGATTGGAGCTTTTGATCAGATTTAGTCATTTAATGATTGCCATCTTTGTGTAACCTTCATTAGAAAGTCAATAAACAGTCCATGAGCAGTTTGAGACTGGAACCCAAATCCAACCCAAATCCAACAGGGTTTTTCCACAATGATAGAGCTGATAGAGATAGAGAGTTTGCAAAAAAGACATTTAAAAAGTCTTGATAGTGTAAAGTAGCATATATGTCATTGTTTTACAGCTGAACCTGGTGAAGTCTGAGTTCTTACCGACAGACGGTGCCCTCCGGTGGTGTGGAGGACACTCCAGCGTTCCCTGCTGTGTGTGACCAAACATAGCCGAATAAACTGCGATTTGCATCCCTGTCTTACAGCCCAACCGCAAGCGCTCGCCTTCACACACCACTTTACTCTTATACTCACCTACAGAGAGAAAACACACAGCCATAGCAAAACACTATTCATGACTCGTTTTACTTTTAAAATACATGAAATAAACAATTAATTTAAATTGTAATAATATTTCACAAAATGATTGTTTTAATAAAAAAATTATTACTGCATTTTTTTTATCAAATACACTAAAAAAGTTTGGAATCATAAAGATTTTTGTTGTTTTTAAAAGAAGCCTCTTATGCTCACTAAAGCTGCAATTATTTGATCACTGTTTTTACTGTATTTGTAATCAAATAAATGCATTCTTGGCAACCGTAATTTGATGCATTTATATGCGAAACAGCTTATAACGAAAAATACATTGGGCTGGACCAGGGTTATTATAGTGAGCTAAACATTAACTGAAATAAAATATTAAAAATACTTACATTTATTTTATTTCAGCAAGTTGCCAAAGCAACATTTCTCATTTTCATTAACTTTATGTATTAAAACAGCTAAAACTGAAAAAACTATATAGTCATAATTTAAAAAAAATTATAATAAAAAAAAAATTAATAAAATGACAAAAGCACAAAACAAAATGAAACAAATTTTAATAGAAAAAAGTTTAATAGAAATATTAAAAAACAATATCTAAAAAATGACTACAATTTAAAAACTGAAATAAAACTAAAATAAAAAATAAATATTAACATAAAATAAAACTATTCAAAAAAACAATAACTAATAAAATCAACCAAAACTGAAAAAACTATATAGTCATATAAAAAACAACAATAATTAATAAAAATGAGAAAAGCACACAACAAAATGACTAAAATGAAAATGAAAATGGAAAACCATAATAGTAAATAATAAATAAATGTAAAAAACATAATAGTATTTCAGTTATACTAAAACAACACTGGGCAGAACTTCTTATCCATTTTATCATGAATAATATGGTGACATCAGCCGAAAGGAACATGTTTTAAAGGGGTCATATGCTGCGATTTAAATTTTTCCTTTCTCTTTGGAGTGTTACAAGCTCTTGGTGCATAAAGAAGATCTGTAAAGTTGCAAGTTGCCGCAAGCCCTCCGGACGCTCCTTCGTCGAATCCTCTGGCCACCGCTCACTCTAGCCGCCGTGTGTGACGCTGTGTGTTTCGTTGTGAAAGCGAAACTACTTTGTTTGGCCTTCCAAAAGAGGACACGACTAGAAATCAGTGGTTAAATTGTATTTACAACACTGTTCCAGAACACTTCAACCCAAATATTCATTTGTGTGCAGCACATTTTATGGAGGACTGTTTCCTGATCCAGGAAGAGTAGACTACGATGCCGGCAGTTCTGACTCACAGACTGTAAGTATGTTTTCATATTTAAAGACTTTTTACCAACATCATATGACCCCTTTAACAAAGAAAATAAAAGTCCATTTTCATTTCAACTTGACTTCAAACCAAGCCCATCTGTGCATCTGTAGAGCTTTAACAGACACAGTGACCCGTAACTGAAGAGCAGAGCTTTATTTCTCAGACCTTCATGAGAGGAAGGACAGAGGTGGACAGATTTCTCTCTGCTCAGCTACCAGAACACAATAACCTGTGTGTGTGTGTGTGTGTGTGTGTGTGTGTGTGTGAGACTCACTCGGCCTGCACTTGTACCGCACACTGAGGTATTTGCTGACGGTGGGACAGGGGTCCGTCCCAAACAAACGACTGTTGACAAGAACCTGACATCTCCGCCTGTCCTCACATTCATCCAGCATCTTCTGCAGAGAGACAGACAGATCCATACAGACAGACAGACCCAGACAGATCCATACAGACAGACAGACCCAGACAGATCCATACAGGCAGACAGACAGACCCAGACAGATCCAGACAGACAGACAGATCCAGACAGACAGACAGACCCAGACAGACAGATCCAGACAGACAGACAGACAGACAGACAGACAGACAGACAGACAGACAGATCCAGACAGACAGACAGACAGATCCAGACAGACAGATAGAATGCTTTCATTTAGGTACATGCATTCCATGGCTTTCATTTTTCCCGCAGTAGATTCCTTCCCTCCGGGCATAAAAACACACAGACTGTAATTTTACTCCGGCACACAGTGCTGTACATGTGTGTGTTTATAGCGTGTGTTTATAGTGTGTGGTTTTAGCGAGCGTGCAAGCGTAAATCACGCGTGTGTGTGCTGTCAGAGACGCTGCAGTTCAAAAGAGCTACTGCCACGTAAATCAGAGTCACACACACCTTCATCAGCTATGTTTGGATATTAAACACATTTAGTGCACAAAAACAAAACACAGCCTTATTATTAATATACTGTGCCACACACATAGAGTGAAATATATGAAGAACTTTCATATGTTTCATAAGAAACCCTTTTATTTCTTTAATTTGATGTATTTTTGTATGACACATAAAAATATTCTACAAGAAAAAAAATGTAGGGCAGAACTTTCATTCATCTGGAATCAGTGTTGTTACGGGTAATTAAAGCTAAAATTAAAAAACATTTTCATTCATTGAAATAAAACTAAAATTAGATAAAATTATTCATATTTGATGAAAAACTTAAACTTAAAAAAACGTACATGAATATAAGAAATGTTGCAATTGAAATAAAATAAATGTAAGTTTTACTTAAGTTACCAAAACTAAAACTGAAATGAAAAATAAATTAAAGCCAAATAGAATTATTAAAAAAAAATATTTCTAATAAAATGACAAAAGCACAAAACAAAATTACTAAAATGTAAAAACTGAAATAAAAGTAAATTAAAGCTAAACAGAAATATTAAAAAACAAAAAGACAAAAAACAAAATGGAACTTAAAAACGGAAATAAAAGTAAATTAAAGCTAAATAGAAATATTAAAAAACAAAAAGACAAAAAAAAAAATGGAACTTAAAAACTGAAATAAAAGTAAATTAAAGCTAAATAGAAATATAAAAAAAACAATAACTAATAAAAAATTATTCATTACAAAACTAATTACAAAAACTTTAAAAATGAAATAAGAAATAAATGAAAACTAAATAGAAATATTAAAAAGTAATAAAATGACAAAATAATGTAACAAAATGACTAACCTTAAAAACTGAAATAAAGAAATAAATTAAAGATAAATAGAAATGTTTAAAAATAAGAGAATAACAAAAGCACATAATAAAATTACAATCCTTAAAATTTTAAATAAAAATTAAAGATAAATAGAAATACTGAAAAAAGACGACAAAAGTGCATAACGAAATTACTAACCATAAAAACTGAAATAAAAAATTAAAGCTAAAAGACTTAGCTTTAAAAAAAAATAAATAAAAAAAAAATATAACATTACTAAAACGCAAACTAAAATTAATATGAAAACTAAAATATAAAAAAATAAATATTAATAAATAGTATAACAGTACTGGATGGTGTAAAGATTAAATATCTCTATTTCTCTTATCAATATTTACCTGCAAGGATGTGGACACATGACAGGAAGTGATGTCAAGCACTGAGCGTGGTCCAGCACTGCTATAAGGGTTTGGGCACTGAGGTGAGTGGGCGGGGTCTGTTCTGCCGTAGAAAGCTGATTGGACGGTGATGGAGGTTCTGGGCGGGCAGCGAACAGTCAAGAATTCTCCGTCACACGCCTGTTCAGTGTAATTCCTCAGAACACGCGTCAGATAACCTTCCACAGAAAGAAAAACACACATCCAGAAGATAATCCATCCACAGACATCAGCATCTTCTCACAAATCTCATTGGCAAATTCTGAAGAAAACTGTCCATCAATGATATGTGTTGCTATGTGGTTGCTAAGGTGTATATTATTAAATGATCTAATATGAGGGGAAAAAACAGCACGGTTCAATGTTTGCTTTCACTTTCTGTTTATGCAGCTGTGTTTTATCCTGACAGTTCAACTCCACAGCGGAAAGAGGCGATTCACACACACGTTTCCGTGCTGAGTGAGTGACGTCAGCTCTGTTTGCCAAAGGAATAACGGAAACACACACGCGCACACACACACACACACACACACACACACACACACACACACACA